TGTAAGTTAAAAACACTATCTATCTATCCTAAAGAACTTCTTTCTACTGCAAAGGAAACTATCTACTTCTGCCTAGTAGATACTTCCTTAAACAATCCTTGATTGCGCCATCTATCTGTCCTTTCCTTCCATCTCTCGCCATCCCGTTTCCTCTTCGCTTGCGCTTCGTGCCGGGCTTCGTTTCTACACCGACTTCGGCTTTGGCTTCGTTTTTGAACTTCGGCTGCAGTTCCGTCGCATGCGATCGCCGGCCGCTATTTCCCGCGGCGCACTGCACACAACGATCACTCGTCGATCGGTCGCGCAGCGGATTGGACGTACCGGTACTAACGCTCCGCCGCTGCCTCACAGTCTCAGTCTCTGTCTCAGCCGCTGCCTCGGTTGCCGTTCGCGCCGGTGTCGCAGCCGTTGCCACCCCCTCGAAAACGCCTCAGAAAATAATAATTAAACGAACATATTAAACTAATTTTTTTCTCCACGCGTTTTTAAGTGATAAAAATTCATTATATATTTTTTTTTTAAAGAACCCTATTTTTTTTTATTTGTTTTTTACTTGTGACGAACGGGCATTGCTGACTAAACTGTAAACCAGAATAAACTAAGAAAAAAAAAATCCAGAAAAGTAAGAAGAAAAAAAACGGAGGGCAGAATTTACTGCCGCTGCCTAGCTGCCAAATCGAAATTGAAAATCGCCGCTCGCTCAGCTGACGAGTAAAAAACTGTAAGTTGTTGCTAAATGTAATTGTTGCCGTCAGTTAATAATGCCCATTAACTGGGGAGAGGGGCTGGGGGATAGGTGGGGGGAGTGAGAGTGCAATGGGGGTCGCGCCGGTTTGGCCATGTAGTAGAGAGTGACTTGGCTTAAACCTAAGTTATTCCTCGCTTTTTGCCTCATCTTTTTTCTGCTTTTTTTCCGTTTAAGCCCGCCTTGACTTTCGACTTTTGTCGCGTCTTGACATCTCCTCTTATTAACTATGTAATTTCCTCTTCGTTTTATTGCACTCCATACACTAAATTATTGTCTTTATTTTAACTCATTTGTCCAACTCGAATGGCTGACAAAAAGTGTTAGAACAGTGTTCTAGAAGGGTGAAAAGGTAGTTAGAAAACGATTTGTGATTTATTCAAGTGAAAAGAGTGAAGAAAGTGTGGAGTTAGGGGAGGTTATATATCAGTATTTACTCATTTTGAAAAGTATTTAAAACTTACTGATTAAAAATAATGTATTACTGCTAAAGATAACTCATATTTCCCTTAAGATTAGTCACTGCCTTTCTTTAAACACTAACTGCAAGTTTGATATTTAAGATTTTGTTATAAATTTTAAAAGCCACTCAAAACCATAAACTTCCTTATAAAGTAGACTTGTCGTTCTCGAAATCACTTCCAGATTGTGTCATCACGAGAAGAGCACGTTTCTAGCAATCTTCAGTTCAAGTTTCAGTTTCAGTTTCAGTTTCAGTTCAAGAATGATATATAGTAGAGTCTGGCCAAAAGCTGTGCCGCGCCAGACTATGGATTTCGGAGTGGGCAGGAATGGTGATTGGAATTCCAAAGATAAGGATTTGAAACTTTCCATGGGCATGGGCATGAGCTGGGCATGGTCACATATCAACTAATTGAGTTAGTTCTTATCGATATTGCTATTCTGGCCATCTACTAATTTGTCACTTTCGATTGTAGGCCTATCGGTCAATAGGGATTTCTGGAAATGGTTATAACTCACAGTCTGTTCTAGCCAAAAAAGCTAGTCAAGAAATCTGTCACCACTTCCATTATCCCTTCAACACAACCCCTTGAAAGCCCCCTTTCATGACCACATAACGAAGAACTTAGCTCAGCATTGTTCCCGGCTGTGAATTCTCCTGCCCCTGTTGCCTGCCCCCCTTCGGCTCCAATCCAATCCGATTTGCTGACACAGAATTCCCGGTATTCGGGCAGTGTTTGAATTTCGCTGCGGCGGAATGACGGCAACTGAACACCGCCCAAGAAATCCAGCTAACGACCCAAATTGGAGCACATTATGATAAGCTCTGATTCTGATTCTGATTCTGATTCCGATTCCAATTCCGATCTGAATCCCCAGGGTCATGTTGCGAGATCCTAGACTTGATCATAACGTGGAAAGTGGAAGTGGCAGGGAATTGGATCGTGCGAGTTATCCGAGAAGGGCCGTGGCCGTGGCTCAAGTAGAGTGCACGCAACCCCCTCTCCCGGCAATCGGCTAATGTTTATTTATAAACAAAATACAAAAATCCCACTGTGTCAGGAGAATCAGAAAGAGAACAACTGCGGATATCTTTGTGGCATGGCACTAACCAACCGATAAGATAAGGAAAATAACTTTCGGGAAAGGACAGACGTCAGAGGGGTGGCATGACTAAAGCGAAAGCGATTCGAATTAATATTGATCGGGCAATGATCTGCGAACGTTTTTGTTTATATTTCTTGACAATTGAAGAGTTTTCGGTTTTATTCAGATAAATATAAATATTTTAGGGTTTATTTAAAGTTGAAGTTGGGATGTCTTTTGCTTGCTAAGCTGCTTTATGGCCAACTTATGGCGAGAAACTTTAAAGATTCTTTGAGAAGTCTTCAACTTTTGGGGGTTTAAGCAAGAAGTAGTGGAAAAGGTGACGTAGTAGTAGTAGAAGTAGTAGAAAAGTTGAAGTAGTAGTAGTAGAAGTAGTAGTAAAAAGTAGTAGTAGTAGGATGAAGTAGATAGTAGTGGGAAGTAGTAGGAAGTAGTAGAAAAGTAGTAGTAGTAGTATAAAGTAGTAGAATATAGTAGAAAAGCAGCAACACTAGTAGTAGAAAGTGGTAAAAAGTAGTAGAAATAGTATATCAACTTTCAGCTTAAAAATCAAAACCAAATCTTAAATTTCCCTTTTAACTTAAAAATTTCAATTTGCCTTATCGTTGACTTCGTTTATCGCCAGCCAAAGTGACACATGTTTTTGGTGGGGAAATAATAATAATTGCTAAACAATTTCTTGCAAACTTCCGGTTGCTAGGCGGCCATATGCCCAGCCCCCACTCCCCCTTCCGCTCAACCTTCCTAAAGAAAAAAAAAAAAGCCCGAAAATAGCGGCGGCGTCAACCTGTTGCTTAACCCCTGTGACAACATTAACATTTTATCTTATCGTTTCGGGAATTTTCGGTGGGTTCGCTCTCGTTTATGGGGTAAGTCAGTGCGTTTGTCTATGCCCAGCCAGTCAGTCAGTCAGTCATATATCTTTCTATATGACCTGCCCATATACCAGATTATATACCATATATCATATATATATATATATATGGTTTATGTCACGACACGAATCGATGATCGATTGTTGGTAACTTCTCAGCTATGACCTGAAAAGAAGCCTAGGACTGGTGAATAATATTACCAATATTTGTTAACGAAACACAAGTGTTTTTCGTTTTCCGTTTTTCGTTTTCCGTTTTTCACACCCAAACTACATACCCAAGGCAGCCATGTTGCAAGTGGTTCTCCGATCTGCGGTCTTAGGTTTACGGTCTTCGATCTTCGGTCTCCCATTCGCCGTTCTCCATTCTTCATTCTCCATTCTCCATTCTCCATTCACCGCAGAGCCGTTAATGTTGATAACCCAGTTTGAACAAGTGTCTTTTCGGCATTTCGATACCTTACGCCTGCCCGCCCGTATATATACCCTAACCCCGCCGGGAGGGTATAATTACACACTCATGAACTGGCGACGGGAAAGCGCCGTAATGCCGGCCGAACAAACAAATAAAACGTAGCCCGATTATATGGTATATATCTCTATATATATGTACATAATGAAGGCCTGGAGCCCAGTTCCGAGTGTGGGAATGGTATGGGCCTGGCTGGTAGTATCCCCCTCCAGGATTGACTGCGCTTTGTTTATCCTTTTGGTGTTATTTTAGGGGAGTATTTGATCAGTTTCTGGGATCATGTGGCTATAGGTTTGTATAAGTATGGCTATTAAGGATGTAATATGAGTTAAAGCTGGAGATTAGAGGTAATGGGAAGATAGGTACAGGTACAGGTACAGTTTTACTTACAAAAATATGGAAAAATCTGTAAAAATCTATTAAAATCTTTAAAAAATCCTTAAGTTAGTAACAAGCTATCTTCGCTTCCATCTTTATCAGCCATTTAGTTAATGTAATTTATTCAAACGCCCTGCCCATTTAGCGATCTATTGTGATTCACAGCCATAAATCTTAAGATTTGTGCATAGACACAGGCCTGTCGTTTGGGGAAATTTTAATTAACTTGCCATTTTCTCAAATATTTATTTCGTGGCCCGTTTTCCATTTTGCATTTTGTATTTTGCATTTCCCGTTGTTTTTCGTTTGTTAATTTGCTAATTTTATTTAACCCATTTTTTTACGGCGCCCGCTAAGCGGTCTCGTCATGGGTTTTATGGGGATTTCGTTGCTGGGACCTTATCGCCAGGGTCGTCAGCGTCGCAGTTGGCTGTGGCAGAGACAGAGGCAGAGGCAGAGGCCTGTAGCAGCGACTGCGACAGCGGCGGCCATCTTTGCTCAACTCATCCATAAACTCATTAACGCGCGCATGTCTCACGCTCTGCCCTCGCCACCTGCCGTCGTCCCCACCCCACCTCCTCCTCCTCCTCCTCCTCCTCCTCCTCCTGTCATTAGCGTCTGCCAATTGACCTGGTTTACCAATGAGCTAGCCAGCAAGAAGGAGGAGGAGGAGGCGACTGGCTGACTGGGCGGTGGGTGGCCAAAGCGGGTAACGCATGCGCGCCACCTACCAGAGAAGTTTCAGATTGGCGGCTAGGATATAATAGGCTGTGAGCTGTGAAAATCAAGCAACCAATCCGATCTTAGCTAGGTATGTAGTATATATACCTCAGATACATCCAATTCCAAGTACAGTTGAGTTCAAGACATCTCTAAGATAGATAGATACTTCCTATATATATGTATATATTCCAAACATCGCTAACGTTTTTCCATTTTTCTTACACTTTCCTCTCCCACAGCAGACTGAGGAACAGAATGTGGAGGACAGCTGGTGCTGGGAGCCAGATGGTAGCGAGGAGAAGGGCGGCAAAGCTGCTGCCGGATCGGCTGCTGCCGATGCCGCCAGGAGCAAGGAATCGGAACTGGTGGACATCGCTTTGGGCAGCAATGACATGGCCAGGCTAAACAATCGTATAGCAGAGCTGGAACAGCTCAATGCCCAACTGAATGCCTCCCTGGAGGAGTTGGATTCGCAGCACGAGCTGGCCATGCAGGATGTGCTGACGCACAAGAGTCAGCTGGTAGGTCAGGTGGCGAATCTCAAGCAAATGCAGGCCGATCGCCTGGTAGAGCACGAATTGGCCAATGCCAGGCAGCAAAAGCAAATGGATGAACTACGTCAGGCTTCAGCAGTGGCCAAGGAACTGCAGGAGCAACTGCAGCAAAAGGTGGAGCAGCAGGAGGCGGAACTGAAGCGCAGCGTAGTAGAGCTAGCCGAGATGCAAGAGCTGCTGGACAAGCGCGGTCAGGACAATGCCGAGCTCATCGAACGCGTGCGCCTGGCGGAAACGGAGCGCGAAAGACTGCTCAAGGATCTGGAGGAATCTCGCCAGGCCAAGGAGAAGAAGACCTCGGAGTCATCCTCAAACAGTTCTTCCACAGGCAAGCACAGCGAGGATGAGTTCATAGTCGTCCGTCAAGCGGATGCCACTGGCTCTGGCTCTGCTTCTGGCTCCGATCCCGACCCAGAAGTTACTTCACCACCCACCAAGGAGAAGTTGCGCGATCGCCTCGTCTCCCTGGAATCACAAATCTCTGAGCTGAACCTGACCAATACCCAGCTGCAGGATGCCCAACTGGAGAAGCAGCTGGGCATCAATTTGCTGGGCGACCAGCTGGCGGAACTGGAGAAGCGTTTGCGTCTGAGCGAGGCGGAGAAGGAGCAGCTCCAGCTGGACCTGCAGCTACGTCTCCAGCAGCTGACCGTGCAGAACCAAGAGCTGAAACTCCATGCCGAGGCCGAGCAAGAGGGACATGCTCAGGATCTGGAAGAGCAGCTGGGCGCCTTGCGGGAGGAGAACCAACGTCTGCGTCAGGAACTGGACACTAGCATAGCGCAGGCCAAGTTCCGACAGGCCATAGCCGAGGAGAAGCAGGAGATCACGGATCTGGATGAAACGGACACCGAATACGGCACCTACGAACTGGACAAGCTGCGTGCCCTGCTCCAGGCCGAGGTGGATAATCGTCTGGGCAGCTCGTATCCCCAGCAAAAGCTGGAACGTGCCTGGAACTCGTTGACCGAGCGCTGGCATCGCCTGGACCTGGTGGAGCAGCGACTGGTGGACGTGCAGAACCAGCAGCTGGTCAGCGAGCACGAGAAGAAGACCCTCGAGGCGGACATCTCGCAGTACATCCTGCAGTGCGATGAGCTGATGAAGAACAACGAGCTGCTCCTCAACGAACTGGACAAGTACAAGCGCAACAAGCTGGAAACCATCGAGGAGCACCACGAGGAGACCATAGTCCAATTGGAGGCTCAGCTGGAGGAGGCCAGGCAGCGCCTGGAGGCTTCTCTGTCCAGCCAACGGCAGTTGGAAACCAAACTGAAATCCGATCAAGAAAAGCCAACCCAAGACAGTGAGTTGCTGGCCAGGCTAGAGCAGAAGGTACAGGAGGAGTTCCAGCTGCAGGAGCAGCTCTCCTCTGTCCGAAAGGAGTTGGACAGCAAAGCCTTGCTCCTGGATGAGCAGCTAGCCAAGCAGGAGCAGCAGAACCAGGCCAATCACGAGAACCTAGCCGAACTGCGGGAATCCTTGCAGCACAAGGAAGCGGAGCTGAAGAGTCTGGAGGAGCAGCTGACCTCCGTTAGGCAGGAACTGGAAGAGAAGTCCATTCAAATAAAGATCAACCAGGATCAGCACAAACTCCAGCTGACCAAAATCCAAAATCAACTGCAAGCCGATCAGGAGAAGCTGAGGGAGCAGCTCCAGCTGCAGGACAAACTGGAGCAGCAGAAGGAGCTGATGGAGGTGGATCAGAACCAGCAGCTGACCACGATCAAGAAGGAGTTGGCCGAGGTGACCCATCAGCTGGATGAGTGCCAGGAGAAGCTAGCCGCAAAGGAAGCTCAGCTGGCGGAGATCCAGCAGCAACTGCTGGAGGTAAGCGAAGAAAAGACAAAGCTAGAGGGGCAAGTCCTTAGCAGGGAGCAGGAGTCTGGCAAGGACACTGAACAGTCTAAGCTAATTCAGGAGCTCCAGGATCAACTCCTGTCCAAGGAGCAGGACCTACATGAAAATCAAGCTGAGCTGGGCAAACTACAAGAAGCACTCCAGTCCTATGAAAAGCAGCTCCAAGCCAAGGAAGAGCAGCTCCAAGCCAAGGAAGAGCAGCTTCAGGCCAAGGAATCCCAACTCCAGGCCAAGGAATCCCAACTCGAGAGCCACCAGGCTGCCGATCAAAGCCAGCACCTCCAGCAAACCATTGATGGCCTGGGCCAGGAGAAGAACGAGCTCATCAAGGCCCTCCAGCAGAAGCACCAGGAAACCACCCAGTACTATGCCGAGATCCAGCGACTGCAGCCCTTCGAGCAGCAGCTCAAGGATCTCGTTAAGGAGCGCGAGAAGCTACAGGATCAGATCGTCTTCCTCAAGGAGAAGTCCGACATACTCACCACGAATCTGCTGACAGAGCAGACCAACCAGCGGCTCCTCCACCAGCAGCAAGCCGAATCCCAGGAGCAGCAGGCCAGTGTACAGCGTGATCTGGAGAGATTAAGGGCCCATCTGCTGGAGGTTGAGGAACTGCATACCCAGGAATCTGTGGAACTGCAACGTGACCTGGAGGAGTCTCGATCCCGTCAAGCGGTACTCGAGCAGCAGGTCTCCAAATCCAGTACGGCCTATACCTCAGCCAGGTGAGTGGGGAACGGTGGAGTAGGAGGAGGAGGAGGAAGGGGAAGGGGTCACCTTGATTGCCATTGGCAAGCTATTCGTCACACCCGGCGATAAGCGATCGAAGTTGGCTAATTGCATTCGCCACATGTTCCCATACCACCACCACCCACTGCATCCACCCGCCTGCCAGGTCGGAGCATGCAAATTGCCAGCCATATTTCCGCATGCCTGGTGGTGGCACCTCGCCTTATCGCCGCCATTCGGAAAATCAATTTCGAGTCGCTTATTGCCGATAGATGCTCTTACGTAAGAGTCCTTTGCTGGTTACAGTCAGGCGTGGGTTGAGCTAGCTGAAGGTTTAGGTTTGGGCTTAGTAGGGGGTTGGTTTTAGGTTTGTTATTAAAACCAATTAAGAGTCTTAGTTAGTTTAGTTTATTAAAGTTTATTATTGGCAATTTTGAAGTCTAGGGAAAAACAATCAGAATTTCCTTTACAGTTTTCCGGTAATTAGATGAAGGGATTAGAAAATATAATGGCTTTGAGCTTGGGAAAAGTTTACAGCGAATTGGGGATTTAATTTTATGATTTTCAAGGGAGCTAAAACAGATTTTTAAGCTTTTAAAAAGTGCATTTACAAAGCGATTAATTTACAGATTTCTTTTCTTTTTCCTTTCAATATTAACTTCTTTAAAATTAATGAGCAAAAATGTAGAAAATATCATTTTAGGAAACTAAAAAACGCTTAAAAAGGTTGTAGATACTTCAGTCTCAGTTACAGATAGATAAGATATAGTAATCTATTAATTAAGAATTCTATAAAAAGTAGTTATCCTTACCATTAATCCCCACAATCTCCCCTTTAGCATCCGGGCAAATCAGCAGGCGGAAACGTTGCAGGCACAGCACGCTCTCCTCCAGCAGCAGCGGGATGAGCTGCTAACCAAACTGGGCCAGTACGAGGATCGTGAACTGAAGCAGCAGGCGGCGCTGACCAATCTCCAGTGTGCCCTAGAGCAGTTCCAAAATGGTAGATTAATATACTTCCGCCATAAGATCCCGAAGACTTACCTAAAATCTGGAATCCTTTTCAGACCAAGATCACGACATCGAAATGGCCACGCAGCGTATCCGACGGGAGATGCAGACGCAGTTGGATCGACAGGGACAGCTCCAGCTGGAGATGGGTGGACTGCAGCAGCAGCTGGCGGAGGCCAATCAGGGTTTGAGGGCTGCTGCCCGGCTGTCCGATCAACTGGAGGCTGGACAGCAGACGATAGCGGTGCTGCGGGATGAAGGTGAGTAAGCGGGTGGTGAATGGAAAAGATAAAGAAGAGCTCCTGTGTGTGCGTGTTAATCCTACAGATTGACTTTGATTTTGACTAACCCAAAGACCTGTGTTGAAGCACCAAAAATACCCACCCCCCAAACCCCACCCGGCATGTTCTTAACCCACGGTGTTGCACTATCAATATATCTGATAAAGATATTGATATATATATCTTTATATTCCCACTAAATCACGCATAAAAAAAAGGGTATATAATTAGAAACTATTGTTGTTTGAGAGTGAAAGAGAGAAAGTATGCTAGTGGAAAAGAAAAGAAAACTGTGTGCTAGAGGGAAAGTAAGAGTTTGAGAGAGAGAGAAAAGTGTCCACCTCACACGATTCTCAAAGGTAAATATCAGCTGGTAATTCTGGGAGCTAAGCCTAGATATGAAACACTCGGAATTTCAGTTGGTATCGACTTTTTTGAATTGCATTTAATCACCAAAAAGCGCAAAAACCGAAACCAAAACACCTAAAACCAGCAAAAAAAACAAAAAACCAAAAAACCCAAATAAAACATGAATTTAAAATATAAAAAAAAAAGAAAAACACAAAGAAAATACGCACCTACGGCTTGTGGCAAATATTTAAAAAACAAAAAATGAAAAAAGAAAACTGTATTGGCTGTTAACTGCTCACCTGCTCACCTCACAACAGGTAACCAACCACCAACTTGTCCGCTTTTGTGTCCGTTAAGTAACTTCCTCCCACACCCAACCCTAACCTTACTAGTAGTAACTTTTATTAACCCATTAATGCTGCACCCACACACTGTAGACCAAACCAAGCAACCAATCGAAAGTAGCTGCCTTCTATGTTATCAACTAATTAGCAAGTATTTTGTGTATCTTTTAATAAGAATATCTGTGATTAGCTAGTCTATTATCCTAAATGTTGTTTGAATGTTGTTGCGCGGAAAGTCCGTGTTTCTGCCTTCTAAGTAGAGCTACCTACAGCCTTAATCCTGTATCTGTTGTTGCTGCCCCAACCCGCTGCCTTGTTGCTTTAACTATTATTTAGTTTGATTTGATTTGATATCTTAATGTTATTTTATGAGTTACTTTTGATTATTATTTGATTTAATTTGATTATTTTTATGATTATGTACAAGCTATATAAGTTTGAGCGTTTGAACACAAGACACCCAGACACACGAGGACCTCTCGATAAACCGTATAAACCGTAAAACCGTACCATTCGTTATCCGTAATTCGTAAACCCGTAATCCGTACCAAACAAAAACATAAAAATAAAGATAAAAAACAAATACGAAATGTATCTGCAGCATTGAATAATCTCAATTTGTAAATGTGAGCGGTTTGAGCCATTTGACGCACTCACTTTGCAATTGGAGATTGCTCGAGACTGCGGCATATGCCACATTATTATGTACACACTTTATATAGCCTATATCTATATATATATATATATATATCTACTCTGCATGTCTACATTATGCATATATACCTCTGTATGTATCTATCCTTCTATATCCCTCTAAATATCGTATGGATATGCTGTCTGAACTGTTTCCGTTGTCGTTTTCTGCTTTTGAGTTCGTTTATTTTTTTTTTTTTTTGATTTTTTAACCTTGCAATTTGCATTCGAGAGATGCTGGTACCTACCTTGATTATTATCCAACCAGAGCCAGATGAAAGCAAGTCCAGTCCCAGATGACCACCGGAGCAGAGCAATCCAGAGAGCAGAGTAGTGAATCAGCCCTCGCGATACGTAAAGGACAGCCATCCATCCATCCATACCCAAGGAGCAGCGTCTGTACGGTTGAGTATTACATCAGGTACTGGTGTGCCTTTAAATAAACAACCAGTACTTATGTCATACTACGCCGTGCACCGATCGCACTAACCGCATGCCAACTTACCACGCGCGCGCTTCTTCTCACCCGGATGTGCCCGAATCCCTTTTGACTTCCCTTTTGATTCCACAAAGAACATACCCAATCACATTTGCTATTTGCTATAGCCTCCAGCTTGTCTCCGTTTGGTTACTAATCCTCCATCTCTGTATATATTCGTTTGTCTTGCCTAGTGGAGAGCCTGAAGGAGGCCAATGCCCAGCTGGAACAGAGCCTGAGCAGCCATGAGAGCAGTCAGACGGACAAGATTGACAAGAGCCTGATCAAGAGTCTGCTTATTGGCTATGTGGTCAGTGGACATGCCGGCGATAAGCAGCAGGTCCTGCGCATGATCTCCTCTGTGCTGGACTTCAATGCCCAGGAGTCGGACAAGGTGGGTCTGAATAAGCAGCAGAGCAGCTGGCTGGGCTCTATCCTGGGCGGCGGTCCAACCCCAGCGGCAGGAGCAGGTACGTAACTATACTTAACCTTCTTCTTTCTTTAACCCACATCTAATGATATACTCCCTTCATCCAGGATCTACGCGTGGCAATGATAACCTAGTGCAGGCCTTTGTCCAGTTCCTGGAGCAGGAATCCCAACCGCAGACGCAATCGCGACCCACGCTGCTCAGCATGACGGGTCAGATAGACGCCTCCGCCTCCTCCACAACCAGCAATCTTCCCCTGCCGACAAAGCAGAACACACAACTTCCGCCAACGCTGCCAGGAGCAGCAGCAGTAGCAGCCAGTCATCAGGATCCTGGAACGCCGCCAGCAGTTCAGGGTGGATCACCACAGTCCCTGGCCATGGGCTCCAACGAATTTGCACCCACTCGCAACTCCAGCTCGATATTGAAGGACATCCTCAGCGACTCCTGATTGTTGTAGAAAAGTAGTCACCTCTTTTTTTTTTTTTAAACATATTTTTATGAAACTTGTAAACGTGCAATCGTCGGCGTCTGTTTTTGTCCCGCATATTTCTCGCTATATATATATTGATAGATATATCTACCTGATAAACCCCCCCAAAAACTGTACAATGTCTGTGTGTGTGTGTGTGTGTCTATGTAAATGTGCACAACGCCAGCCAACTTGTAAATATGTAATATGCAATTTGAACATGTCAACAGGAGTAGCAAAAGAAAGGTGAAGACAACCCCCTCTTGCTCTTGCCTGCCTGTGACACGCCTTCACAGCGGCCTTGCTAATGACTAGCCGCCAAAAAATAAATAATAATTAACAAATACAAAGATAATAGTTGATGTTTTTGTGAAAAGGATGCTTTGTTGTTTGTTGACTTTTCCACCCAATATAAAAAGGAAATTAATTTTTTTGTTTTTAAGTACATACAATATAAGACTGCTGCCTTTTTGTTTATTTTTGATTTCTACACATCTCGCTTAGTAGGTTTGCCTATAACATTTCGATAAACTCTTTGAAATCGTTTGCTAAAACACACGTAGGACACGGATCCCATTTACATGGTTATGGTACATGGTTATGGCCATGGGATGGCTGCTGGCTGTATCTCAGCGTTAACAACATTTAAACATTTTCTACACATCGTAAAACAGGATCTAGACTCTCTTACTCTTCATAAATATCGCTCATTCGTTCTGTTTTTTTTTTTTTTTTGTTTTTTAACTTTCATTTTTGTTTTATAAAAATATACAATTATAAATATAAATATATATATGCTTGTATATATATATATATATCTTGCAGTATATGTACATTTAGAGGTTTCAAAAAGACAAGAAAAAAATGTACGTCTTTCATTTTTTTGTTTGTTTAGTTTTGTTTTTGTTCAATAAATTAGTAGAAAATACTTGGTTTTTGTTTATATAAAAATACAATAGGGTCCATAGGTTTCAATACACATACACATTACACATTGTTATATATATATTTTCACTGATTTTGGTATAACTATTTTCGTATCTTCGTATATATATATATATAGTTCTTTTCGTGGCGGAAATAGAGTTTTTGCTTAGGTTTACCATTAGAAAGTGGCTTTTGGTTTTTTGTATAAAAAATTATACAAAAGGCTTACAAAATGATTTTCTCAGTGTAGTGTGTGTGTGTGTGATGAAAGCTTATTTGGTGGGTGAGTGCTTGTGTCTTTGTGTGTGTGTGTGTTTATGGCAAGCATTTTGGTGCATACTTTTCGGTCAACTTGTGGGGTTTATCGCATGTAAAAGCTGCTACTCCGACGATGTAGATCGTCTAACAAAGTCTCAATTATTATATTAGGCTAGGAAACCAATTTCGATCTTATTAACTGGAATATTACTCGAATGTTAGCCAAAATTGGGCCATAAATGTTGATCAAAAGTGGTAGCAGAAGCTTTTACTTGGTTTACGTTACCCACCATCATCTGTGGACCAAAAACCCTTTCTTCTCTATATATATGGCATGTGACAGGATTATTTCAACTTGAACTTTAGCTAAGATACACATTTATATACACATATTGATCAACAACATTGAACAACAGCAAATACAGACACAGGTAATATCCATTCGTTGGCTCACAAAAAAAAAAAAAAAACAGATGTTATTTAGTTACTTAGACTATAGTAGTGATTAACTCTATGCTATGGTACATTGATTCTACATACAATCCACATCTATATATATTTTGCTACTACCATTTAAAGCCACGTATTTCCATTAGTTTAATTAACTTTACTTACTAGCTATCTGGTATTCTTATTCAAAAAAAAAAAGAGGGAAAAGAACGACGATAAAAAAAAAAACAGTGGTAGATGGGAAAGAAAGCATTTCGTTTTGGTTTCTCAGATGGAATCAACTGGCAACTAGTACAGTGAGAACTACATAAACATAGTTGATGGATCAGCGTTATGTTTTGGGTTATCTACGGTTATAGATATCTCTGTATCAAGTTTATCCCATTCTGTGGAGTAACAACAATCAATCTATCAATCTATCAAGCTATCAATCAACCAATCACTAGCAACTTTAACCCGATTCTATCGTTTCCTAACGTTTCTATCTATTCATATTCATTTATATCACAAAAAACGCGGTTGGTTTTCATTCCTCAACCCATATGCCCTTGCCCTTGCCCTTGCCCATGTCCCCCCCGTCCCGCCCTTTGCCTGGTTTAGGTTTTTCCTTTTTGGTTTTCTGGCCACAACTTTTCGCTCCATCTCTCTCTCTCTCTCTCTTAGCCATTTGTCGGGAAAACTCTGCTCTAACTGTTAGAGTCATTAAATGCAATTTTGAAACCATTTTTCAAGTGCTTCACTCTCCCTCTTCCGTAACCCCCATCCCCCCTCTCAACTTGCCACTCCTGTGGCAATTTTCCTAAGTTTCCACTGGCATTGAGTTGTTGTTTGTTGTTGCTGCCGTCGTCGTCGTTGTTGTTGTTGCTGCTGTTGTGCTGCTGCTGCTGTTACTGCTGCCTATGTTGTTGTTGTTATGGTTGTTGCCAGCAGTCAAGCTAATGGTGGCAATGGGTGTCAAGTGGCTGCCACCGTTCGCCTGCAGCGATTCCTGTGACTTGAAGAGCGTTGTGGTCTCACTGGAGTGCAAGTCATCCTCGTCCTCATCCTCATCCTCCTCCTCCTCTTCCTCCTCCTCACCATCATCATCTTCATCCTGTTCCACATACTCTTGATTTTTGGTTTCCAATTGCCCCAGCTTATCAGCATCCTCATCTGGCGTGTCCAATGGCTTCTCCCTGCGACCCGTATACAGAAACACTTCCATATGATCCTTGCCCTTCACATAGACACTGCCACGTGGCTCGAACTCATAGCGATTGGTTAGGAAGGGCAGACAATCTTTGCCCACTTGAATCCGATTGGGCAGGCCAGTGGAGTCCATTCTGGAGGCCACATTAACAGCATCGCCCCAGATATCATAGTACAGCTTACTCGTACCAATCACACCCGCTGTCACATCGCCAATATTCATGCCAATCCTCAGGATGAGATTGAATTCCAGCAGATCCTTATTAAATGCATCCACCACCTCTTGCATGGCAATCGAGAACTCCATCAGGGTGTGTATATGCTCATCCCCAGTGCCCCGATGCGATGGATCCAATCCACTAGCCGCCATAAATGTCGAACCAATCGTCTTGATCTTCTCCACAGATCGGAACTCGGGTCGCGACAGCAGCTCATCAAAGTCACCGATCAGCTCGTTGAGGACGCGCAGGAACTCCTTGCCACCCAGATAGCTTTCGTCGTACATCTCATTGAAGTTGACAATGGAGGCAAAGATAATGGCTATATTATGATGATTCTCCGAATACTTGGCCGTATTCTTCAGATGCTCAGCCACATGCTTGGGTATAATGTTATGGAGCAGCATGTCCGCTTGGTTCTTCATGTTCTGCACCCTGACCTTATCCTGATTGGCCACAGCATTGCCATAGAAGGTCAACCGATAGCCAATCTCAAATTCTCGATTGAGGAACCAAACCAAGACCAGGATAAGCAGCAGATCCAGATAGATTTCCACATGATAGTCCTGGAACCATTTGATCTCCTGTATAAAATTCGATGCCTCCTGATCCTGCTGATCACTTCGATTATGACTGTACACCATCAACTGGGACACTGCGATGCCGATGAAGCAGAGGGCTGCCAGGAAGGCCAAAACATTTCTTACCCAGCAATTAAGTTGGGTGAAATTACAGAAGTGAACGATGCACACGAAGATCAGGAAGCCATAGTGATACTCAAAGGCCTCCAGTTGCTCCAAATCCAACAGCAGGAAGTTGGCTATAATCAGCAGCACGGGCATAGCCATCAGAACGGCCAGGCATATATGCCAGGGATACCAACTGGATATGGCCTCAAAGATTCGATCGGCACATGACTCAAAGTGTGGTCCTCTGGCCGATGGTGTTCGTTCTCGGTCTTCTCGTTCCAAATCCTCACTGGTCGTCGACTTGGATCTGAAACGATTGCTAACGTTGTTGCTGCCGCTCTGACGGCGACACATCTGACGGGTGAACAGGAAGAGGGCAAAGACTTGGATGCCAGTGAAGCAGGAGAAGAGGGTAACCCACAGGCGAAAGCTTGGCGTCACCGTGTTCTGGGTCATCAGGAACAGTGACACCGAGATGCACAGATACACCGCTATGCCCACGAATATATCTATATAGGTATTATAGCGCGGCGTGGCCAATGTCGGTGGTCCTTCTGTTTCATTCTCAGCCCCAAATCGATGGGCCTTGGACCGGAAATCTCTTTCCAACTGCCGCGACTGGAAGTATAAACTGAATTTTCTCAATGGTGGCTTCACCAGATAGCTCCTCTGCGATCTGGCATTATCCCGAACGCAGCGGATAAGCTGGAGATCCGATTGCTTCCGCAGCTGCTGCAGACAGGCGGCCAGAGGATCGGCCATTTGTGAGGAGCAGGCGGGCATCAAGAGTGGCGGCGGTGGTTGTACGGCCAGTGGTAGCCCCAATCCTTGGACTTCTCCCAAATTTGAGATACTGGACGTGGAGCTGGTGAAATATCCCGAAACTCTATGCTGACTTATCGCCGACTGGTTGAGGGCATAGATCTGTTGCTGGATGGAGGATCTTCGTGAGTTGCTCTTGATCCCGGAATCCTTGCGAGATGTGGCCGATGGGCATATGCTTGACTGGCGGGAGTGTTGTGGGGGGAAAATGCCACCACCAGAGTTTCCGGGTGCTGGCAAACAGCAGGGACTAGTGGATGAAGTGCCCGGTTCCAGGCTATTCGGTGTGGGTCTGCCGGTGGCCAATGTTGAGGCTCGTGGCCGGGGAAGTGGCGATTGCTCTACTGCGGGTGCTGCCTGGGAGGTACCAGCTCCTCCTCCGGCTGCTCCGTTACCTCCTCCCGTTGACTGTCTCCCACACTGCGAACGATAGCTTCCCGATCGGCCAAAGGGGGATATATCGCTCCTCGACTGACTGATATAGGATCGCACATCGATGATGTCATCGTACATGGAGTACTGGCCAGGGGAACAGCAACCACCACTGACACCCGCCTCCGGCGATCGCAGCACGCTGCTGGCCAACGCCGTGGATGTGGCTGCATGATGGAGAACTGGTCGAGCTGGTGGTATGTCCAATGTCTGGGTGCGATGGTTGGACTCCACCAGAACGGGCAGCTGCTGATAGCCACAGCCGTTGCCATTCTGCATTTGGTTGTCCATGAAGGCCAGGGTCTCTTCGGGATTCAGTTGATTCTGCTGATGCAGCTCCTCCTTCTCCTTCTCCCGTTCCCTTTCCTTCTCCTGGTGGGCGGTGGTTGAGCTGCTGCTACCGCCGCTGTTCCTGCTGGCCAAATCCTCGAATCGCCTGAGAAATCTGGGCACCTTCCAGACTTTTAGCTTGATCTTGGAACGCGTTTCGGTAGCTGGAGGATTTACGGGTGGCAGCGGTGGACTAACAGCCGGTTGTTCATCAGAATCCAGACTGCCTGGCAGGGATTTGGTGGTGATGATGATCTTTGGCCGCTCTCGCACTACAATCACTGGTGGAACGCCCGCCGCCGCCGGATGGATGATGCCACGTTCCACATCCCGTTCCCGACTCTGCGACTTCTTGCGCAGCTTCATGCTCAGCGAGGTGAGACGCGGTCGCATCGAGAGTACCGGCGAGGGATTCAGCGAGCTGGACAGTTGACCAACCGGCGAGGCTGGCGGTACATTCGGTTGGACTGCCGACACATTGGTGGCACTCTGCGAGAGTGAAGTGCCATGGGCGCCGGGCAGGAGCAGGGAACTGCCAGCAGCATTCGCCGGCATGCTGGGACTTAGGCTGTTGGTGCGGGTGAAGTCACGACGACGTCCGACCACGAAGTAAGTCCGATGACCTATGGTTTGGTGGGGAAGAAACAGAGTTAGCTAATGGGATCTTGACTTTTAAGTTCAAGGAGTACTCACCGAACACCTCCTCGCCCTCCTCCAAGTAGTAGGCATCGCCCAGAAAGCTGGAAGTCTCCTGCGAGATGTGCACCTGCTCCGGTTTGCCCGAGGATTCCATTCTAGAAAGGGGAGGGGGGTTACTTTAAGAACTTAACAGAGTTTAAGATCCTAATCCCACTTACTTGTTAGCCAGACTGACATCGTTGCTCCACACATCGAACTTGACCCGACGCGTGCCCACGATGCCGCAGAGTACCGTCCCCGTGTGGACGCCCACTCGCATCTTGACGCCCTCGTGCCTTTGGGCATCGAAGCAGCGCATGGCATCGATCATGCCCAGACCCATTTCCACACAGCAAATGGCATGATCTGCCCTGGGCTCTGGACAGCCGGACACACAGTAATAGCAATCCCCCAGTGTGGAGATCTTCTCGCAGCCACTCAGCGAGCAGAGATCATCGAAACGCTCGAAGAGATCGTTGAGGATCTCCACCAGCTGTTCGGCCGTCTTTGTGGAGGACATACGGGTGAAGCCAACGATGTCGGCAAACAGGATGCTCACATTCTCCATGCTGTGCATGTGAAATGGCCGGAACAGGGACTTCACATCGTTGGAGGCTCTGGGTCGCATATAATGTGATTCGGGTGGCAATCCACCGGAATCGAGACCAGAGGTACCACCTTCATTTAGCAGCATATCCGCCACTTTCGGTGGCATCACCGAGTGTATCATCTTCTCCTTCAGCTGCTTCTCCATCTCCAGTTGGCGGCGTACAAGCAGATTCTGGCCCACCTTCATGAAGGTCCCGCGCATCCTTACCAGATTCATGATCAGCACATGCACCCCAACCAAATGGACACTCAGGTGGGCCATTATCCTCAGGATCAGTATCTTATTGCTGGGATCACCATTGGTCTCTATCCCAGATACTCCATCCCCACTCCCACCACCTCCAACACTGTGCATGGCTCCACCATGAATGGCACTGCATCCGATCACCATGTGCGAGACCATCTCGAAGGCAATCGAGTAACTGATAGCAGTGCTGGCCCCCAGCCACAGGGGCATGGGTAGGGCTGTGTATATCAGTAGGACAATCTCCAGGCAGATGGCAAAGTGCCCCAACGGACTGAACGCTCGACCCGTGTACGTTAGGAAGGCCAAGGAGGCGCCGCAGAGCATCAACGCTGTCACTGCCGATGTCACTGTTCGGTGCTCCCTGTACAGGTCCCAGTGCGTAAAGCACATGGCCATGATCGTGACTAGTGAGAGCATGGAAAAGGAACTGGAGATGGGTCGCCAGAAGTCCTCCGATCCGCCATCCACAACGAAGTACAGGCACCACACCAGCGAGCAGAGCAGAATGTACGAGAGGGTGAACCTGGAAAGGATTAGAAAAGATTGTCTTTAGGAGTCGCAGATACTTTTGGTATAATAAGATAACTTAAGGAATTTAAGCTATGATGATTTATCTTAGAAAAGAGAACTTAAAGACTGACTGAACAAGGTTTCAGGCTTAGTTTTTGCGCTTTAAACAATGTCAACGCCTTACACCTACTAACCCAATTAGGTTTCCTTTATTAAAGACCAGACTGAAGCCCAGTTAGAAGTCCAAGGGGAATGAAAGCTTGGCAAGATTAAGAGTACTGGGTTAAGTGCAGGACAATGGGCCAGCGAAGTCTGCCGGCAGTCAAGGACTTGACCTCCCTGGGTTTCTTCTATGGCAACAGCCACTTCAGCCTCATCCTCATCCCCATCTCCATTCCCACCGCAAGAAAATTTTCGTTCATCCCATTTAACTTTCACTGCAGGCCACAGCCATTCATCCTAATTAACGCTAACTGCAGGGAACTGGAGCGGTAAGAGGAGAAAGCGGCTTACTTGCTGCTTACTTTCCACAACCTGTCACCATGGGAACTTTTGCCACTGCCACTGCTGCTGCTGCCGCCACTGCAACTGGCACTGCATTCATTACACATTTTGTTCCGCTCGAGGAAGCAGAGGTCAGGCCGGAACTAAACGGGTAATGCAACTAAGGGGGGCCGCCTCCAGATGACGACAACCTGCCCACTAACTAAGCTCCGGGCATTGTCCAAACGCCAGGACCTGTCGCCCCATTGTTGCCCCATTTGGAAAACTTTGGTTGGTAACCTTCTGGGTTTCCCGCTTGGTCTTGCATGTCCACCAAAAAGTTTCCCTCCCCCCCCAAAGAAGATGTGTCAAATGCAGGGCTGGGCTGGGTTTTCCATCTTGGAAAATGCATTTTTCGGACTTGGTTTTCTTCAGGAACTTAGCAGGAGTTGGATTTGGAAAAGTCCTTAAATAATTATCAAAAAAAAAACAGGACAATTTTCACCTCAAAACCAGCCTAGTTCTGGCTTAGCAAGGTTGGTTCCGAAGTTGTCTTTACTGGCAACCCCCAATCGATTGGTTGGCTGCCTCTTTCTGGTGCCGCACGCGAAACTGCTGCAATTGGCCGCCAAATGGCCTGAAATGGCATTGACCTGCAGCAGCGACCCCTAACCCCGAACCCCGAGTGCCTTAACTCTGCTTTCAGCGAATCTCCTCCTCCTACCCTCCTCCTATTGGGCGGGCACACGCCAACCGAGCATTTATGGCGGCAATTTCACCATCCTTCGCAGTTCCCCAACTAATTTGCCCTCACTTACCTCCACAGCCACCTCCCGATGACCCCGTGATCCCCGACAGAAACCCTCTGCTCTTTGGCGCCGCGTTGATGATTGCATGCACGTGCAAGGGTGTTCCTACAACTCACCACCCTCTTCCCCACCCCCTTCTAACTATAGAACTGCAAAAAGGGCTAGCAGAGTAAAGGCTCTAACCAGGTGGTAGGTTGAAGGAGTCCTACGAAGCGAGGTTTGTAGGCTAAATAGAATCTCCGCCAGGTGTCAGCGAACTTGAGTCTTAAAGGAAAACATCGATTAGAAATATCTAGGAATTGGAAATTCACTAAAATTATAGAATTTTCCTTCCAATTAGTAAGAAATTCCTTCCCTTTCCCTTAAATCCCTTCCTTTTCCTCTCCTTTAAATTCCCTTGCCTAATTGGCCCAAAAGTTATCCATTTTCCGCTTACATTTTCCCACTAAATCCTGAAATTTCCTTCTACATAAAATATATTTAAACTCTTTCTATAAAAAATGTTAACAAATTGGTTGGAAAAACCTCAAAAGAGTTGGGAAATCCCTTGCCGTAGCTGGCCTATTTGTTCTTTTGATTGCGCTGGCTGACAGCTCGATTTGCATAGCTGAGTGGAGGAGGCAAGGATGATGGACGGGGCCACCCAGTGGCACCACCCCCTCTTTACTTCCCTGCACTCCCCCCCTTCACTGCCCTTTCATTTCCATTGCAAATTATTAAATTAAATTAAAAAACTCTATATTGCAGTTAACAATGCTTGGAATTTACAAACTGAAACCCTTTTATTCTCAAAAATAAAACATTTCTTAACTCTCTTTTTCAAGTTTAACCCTTTAAAACCCTTTAAAACCCTTTCCCCAACTCACCTGTACCGCATTCGGACATGTGGAAAGACGCTGGCCTGATATTGCTCCTCCAGGACTGGTGAATCGAACTTGGGATCTAGCCAGGACTTGGCCGCTGCCCGCTCAAAGGCCACCGGCAACATGACGCTGCAGCAGGAGTGCCGCCGACCGGTCTGGCTCAGGTAGGTCTGAATGTGGGGGGCCAAGGCGATCTGGATGTCATCGGTGGAGTTTGCCCGGCTATCGTTGACCAGAACGCCCGGCGGCATAGCCCTGGAGCTCACCGACTGACGGCGTGACTGTAAGTAAAGTTAAGAAATACAATTTTAATTTTATTATTAAATTTGAATTAGTAATTAGAAGAGGAGTGGAGGGATAAGCTTAGAATTAAGTTCTTCCCTGGCTTAAAGGGAGACGCTGTGGCTGGTGGGAGTCAAAGGTCATGATGGCTGGGCCTTAAATCTTTGACTTTTCGCCTTCAATGGGTCAATGGCTTGCCCTGCCTTTCCTTGCATTCCTTTTCCTTCTTTGCTTTTCCTTCTTTCCTTTTCTTTCTTTGCTTTCCCTTCTTTCCTTTTCCTTCTTTGCTTTCCCTTCTTTGCTTTCCCTTCTTCGTTTTTCCTTCTTTGCTTTCCCTTCCTTGCTTACCTTCTTTGCTTTCCCTTCTTAGCTTTTCCTTCTTTCCAGCATATCAGTTTTTCTACCTAACATATCTTTTTTTAAGCCTCTCCATGACTGATCTGTTTTTAAGGCTTTTCTTTTGCCTAAAATATTATTTTTAATATAAAATAAATTTAATTTCTTCCTAAAAATTATGAAAACCTCTTAGAAACCTCTTTAGATTCCACATTTTCAGCCCATAAATCTTTGCTTTTTTATGACTGCTTATAAAAATTTGTTTTAAATGCTTTTTAATTTCCTTTCTGGCTGCGATATTTTCTGATTTTTTGATTATCACCAAACGGCCAAGTCACGCGACATGGCCGCGCTGATTTCTGATTTCTGTTTTGTGATTTTTTGATATTTTTTTTTTTTTTTTTTTTTGATTTCTGACTTTTGATATTTGCCAGCTGATTTGCGATTTCTGACGGCCTTCGATTTCGGGGCAATCTTATCGGAAAGCAAGCCAAGCCACGCCAACCCAAAGCAGCAGCCAAAGTGCAGCTATGAAATTTCAAAACAAAAAACAAAAACAAGACAATTGGCGCCCAATCAACAACATAGCGTATACGACCCGTGGGCGGCACTCGAGCGAAACGCACACTCGCGCCAAGCGGACACAAAGTTGCTAAGTTAATCATAAAAAGCATTCCCCCAAAAGCAAACCGATTTGGCCGTTCATTAAGAAGCCGCTAAAAAGTCTGTCTAAAAATAGAAAATGCTGGTGAAAAAAAAAAAATAAATAATATAAATTAAAGTAGAAAGAAAAACTTGAGAGAGTCTAAGAAAAAGAAAGGCCGCCTTGCCCTAACTTAGGGTTGTAATTTTTATTAATTTTAGTAATTTTAATAATTTATTAGGCCATTTCGGACATTGTCAACGCGGTTGGTAGTTAGTTTTTATGTTTAAGGCTTTGAAAATATTAAGTAATGGCAAGATGTTTGTCATAAATAATGGGAAGAAAACCTAACAGCAGCTGTATAGCAATAATTATCAGCCTTCAATGCCAACAATTAAGTTTGAAAATCATTAAAAATTATGTTAGAAACCTAAAAGTAATCTGAAATATTGCTAAAATCATAATATTTAAAAAGAAAACCCAAGAAAATTTCTACCAAAAAAGGGCATTGAAAGTGTTAAAGAAGAACTTTTCCTTATTTCAGGCCAAGCTGAGCTGCAAGTTACATACAAAAAGCCAACCAGGACTCATTCTGACTTCACCTTTTCCCTTCACCAAAAACCCTTGACTTTTAGGCTGAAATCCAAAAACCAAATCTGTGGGTAAACTGGTTTTCCTTTGCCAAACTCAATCCTTTTTCCTCGTTTTCTTTTTTTTTGGGAAACCATTTTGGACCCACCAAACCAAAAGATGTAAAACAAATATTTCATTTGGCAAATTGCTGGCTGACCCTTGGACTGCTCTTAATAATTACTTCCAAGTTTCCATTTTTTTTCGGGTTAAACTGCGGGTTTTCCCACAGACATGGAACTTTAACTTATTTAACTTTTCACTTTCATTTCACCTACCAAAAATCAATCCACAAACATTCCTTGAACGCGGGAAAAACATATTTATGGTTGTGTGAAAAATGTCAAAGAAAAAAAAGAAGAAAATCACATTAAGTCTAGGCTGTAGTTGAGCATTTTCTTTGGGTTTTCCCCTATTTTTTCGTCTCTCGTTAATATTTCGATTTGATTAGGATTCGATGGGTTACAATTTGATTCGATTTGAGTTGATTCCGATTCTGATTCTGATTTGACTTTATTTGAATGCGAAACAAAAGGCGGAGCGGAGCGGCGGCGAAGCGGTTCGGTTCAACGAATTCCGTTGACGCGGCGCTGGGAACTGATTTGAATTTCTCGCTGGCAACGTTGGGGATTGTCGATTGTCTCGCCGCCGCTGCCGTCGATCGCCAGCGGCAAATAGCAAACAGCTGACAGAGGCAGAAGCGTTGCTTCTTCTTTTCTTTGGAGAATGCAAAAAACCAGCCAGCTTATCGTTCACCTGATAAGGCCCAGGTGGTAAGCAAGGGAATAGAAGAGAAACTCAGAGAGAGAGAGAGAAGGCGATTGAGAGATCTCTTAGCTAATAGATAGGGATCGACTCAAGATCACTTTGCCGCTTTCAAGTGGCCAAGGACCCGCGTTCGTAATCTATGAGGTCATACTCAAAAAGACACCCACTTCTCCCGGTTTTTGGCCTGTGAAATATAGCACAAAAAATTGTTTAATATAAATATAGAGCTCGGTTATTCCGGCAGTTGGGCAGGCAGGCAGCGCGATAAGATAAGAATCGCCCCCAGACACGATTCTTAGCTATATATATATGAACTGCCAGGGAAATCGCCTTGAACTTCTTCAACGAATGCACTCATTACATATCCGCACCTCCCCACTCAAGTACACTTAACGGAAAAGTCTAGCTCTTTCCTTTCCTGGTTCTTTAAGCCCTAAACTTTGTAGTTGCCCTACACAGTCGTTACATTGTCTGAGGAAGCTCAAAAAAACTTATTGCTGTGTCTGCCATAAAGCGGTTCATTTTATTTACAAATCAATCAGAGATTTGCTTACACGAATTTCCGATCATCAGATCAATGTCGAGGTTATTTATTTAGCAATTTATAGCTGTAAATTAACAGATATATATCTTTGTAGTACGATTACTAAGCATCGTTGTTGAGAGATAATGAGATAATGTATCTAATATATCATTTATACATCTCATTCTCACTCTGATTACTGCTTTTAGAGAAATGACAGTCAACAGGCCTTTAAAGATGTTTATGACGGCTCATGATCTGCTAGATATGTGGCCGATAAGAGATAGTAGATACGAAGATACAAAGATAGGAAGATACGAAGATACAAGATACAAAAATACGAAAGACAAAGCACAAGATAAAAAGATAAGAAGATATAAGATACAAAGATACAAGATACAAAGATACAAAGGTTCAATGATACGAAGATACAAAGATACAAAGATACAAAGGTTCAATGATACGAAGATACAAAGATAGGAAGATACGAAGATACAAGATACAAAAATACGAAAGACAAAGCACAAGATAAAAAAGATAAGAAGATATAAGATATAAGATACAAGATACAAGATACAAGATACAAAGATAGAAAGATAGAAAGATACAAAGATACAAAGATACAAAGATACAAAGATACAAAGATACAAAGATACAAAGATAGAAACATACAAAGTTACTAAGATACAAAGTGAATGATATACAAGATACAAAGATACGAAAGACAAGACAAGAGACAAGAAACAAGATACAAAGATATAAGATACAAAGGTTCAATGATACAAAGATTCAAGATACAAAGATACGAAAATACGAAGATACAAAGATACAAAGATACAAAGTTAATAAGATACAAGATACAAAGATACAAAATACAAAAAACGCAGATACAAGATACGAAGATACAACGATTAAAAAGGTAAAAAAGGAACAAAGATACGAGGATACAAGATTCAGAAATGAAAGATACAAACATACAAAGATACAAAGTTACAAAAATACAAAGATACGTGATACAAAGATGCAAAGATACAGAAATAAGAAATACAAAGATACAAGATACAAGATACAAACATTCACAGATACAAGTTAAAGATATGATAAAAAGCCGAAACGCTGACAAAGAGAGTATTATCTCTGCCTTTGACTTTCGGATGGATTTATCCTGCATATAAAATATATATATTATATATATGCAAAAAATACACATCTCGGACTTAAGCTGGCAATTAAGTGCCTGCCGTGGGTGGTGGCTATTCCTTTGATTGGCTTTACCACCCCCTCCCACCCTCCGCTCGCTCCCCTGGCCAGAGCCTGGTTCCTTTTCTATTTACATTCGATTTAAGCCCGCACGACAGTGACAGTGGCCTTTGTGAAGTCGGCTCAGTGGCTCTGTGGCTGGGCAAGTGGTTAACTCAGTGGCTTGCATAATGCATTCGGCAATTGGGGACAGGAAATTGGAATTCCGTTGGTAGCCAGTCAGCCAGTCGGCCAGTCGGCCAGTCAGCAAGGCGACGACCAAGACCATGGCTGCGCTGCCTGCAAATCAAATTCCAAATATTTGTTTAATTAAACTCTCTTGGCAGCCGCATCAATTCCCCGGCGAGCGACAACAAAAGCGGCAAACTGTTAAGAAGTTTTTGAATATTAATTAGCAGGCAAAGCCAAAGGCAGTGGCAGTAGGAAAATCAGTAAAAAAAAAAAACCGTAAAAAACCAGCAAAAAGGCAGAAAGCCAAAGCAACATTTTGGCTTCGAGTTATCAGAAAACTGATAAATTTAGCTGCTATTTCTGAAGGGGCAGAGTTTGATATATATATATATATAAATATCATGATATAGATATAGACAATCTGTTTTGGTGGATAAAACAGTCGCCTTCTTAGGTTGCAGAAAGGTGTTGATGAATGGCCATAAAGAGAGGGCGTTTCTGGCTTATAAGGCAACGAAAGTTAGTAACTTTTAAATTACTAAACAGTCAACTAAATATTATATAAACTTATCTTATCGATTTCATTTCTTTTAAATGCTTAATTTTTTGATCATAAATTAAACAGAAGAAGACCCAAAATAAAACCCAAAAAAAAACCATAAAAACAT